TTGCCCTCCCCGCGCGCCCGGGCTCCCCGTGCTGTGGCGCGGCGCTGGGTCCGGGACCTCGCGGGGGTGCGGAGGGCACTGCGGGAGCCAGGGCTGCCCCCTGGATCGCGTCCTAACTGCGAAGGTGGTCCAGGCTCTGCTTCTCCTCGTCCTGCGCCCCAGGGTGCGCTCCCAGAGAGGGTGGTCTTCCAGGGGACCCCCAAGGAGGAGTAAGATAGTTTGGGGCAGAGGGGACGGCGGAGCTAAGGCCCGGAGGTGTGAGTGGGGACCAGTGAGTGGCCTTCTGGGGGAGTGTCCAGAGCACTGGGAGAGGGTGGGAGGTGGAGCCCGAAGGAAGCGGGAGCTGAGTCCTCCCAGAGGATGTGGCCGGAGGTGGGGCGAGTCAGGGGTGTTGAGGTTTCCAAGCGGGACAGGGATGGAGAGGACGGTGCACACGCTCAGGTCTGTCGCTCTGCCGCCACCACCCAGGAAAGAGGGCGAGAGGGTGGGGCAGTGCTTCGCGGCTTTGCCTGGGGGTCTTCGAGGGACCGCCAGGCCCGTTTGGTGTCTGTTGCAGCAGTAGTCTGCTGGCTCCTGCTTGGGGAGTAGATCGTTTTCTAGAGGGCTTATTGGCTGGAAAAGACAGAAGATGAACAGAAAGTGGAGTCTGAGAACATTTGCGTATCGGAAACTGCAAAGGAACACAGAATGACCAGGAACTGCATCATCGATGCCAACTCTGGAACATCCGTTGTCACGTTGCAGGACAACAGAGTATCACTCTAGGCGTGTGGCTGTGTGTGGGAAAGAGTTTGAGACTGGGAGGCTGGCGACAGGGGTTCTGGTCCCCTACCCCGCACCTTGTGCTCTCTATCCTACCCCCCCACCCCCACCCCAGAAGTCTCTGAAGCCCTTGGGTCCTGTGGAAGAGGAAAGTTCTACATCCAATAAGACCCCCTCCCTGTCTCCAGTGAAAGGCCAGTCTCTGATTAGAGCCACATGGATGTCATTGGGGAGTGGGCATTTCAGGGAGCCCAGGAACCTGCTGTGGGATGCAGGCAAGAGCTGAGGCAGACTCTGGGGAGACTCAGGTTAGCCACCGCTTTTGGATCCAGCCCCTGCTGCTGTGGCCTTGGAGGCCCTGTGAGGGGCAGGGGCTGGGAGTCACTCAGGGCCCACCTCTGCTCTGTGGCAAGCTGCTTCCCCTCTGAATGGGGGCTGTCAGGATGCCTTCCTCCTGGCCGCGCTGTAGGGCTGTGAGCAGTGTGTGTGCAGCATCCAGCGCTGCGGTCATTCGCTGTGGCCGGCGGCAGTGTTCTCGGTGCCCCGCACTTCTCTGGGCCTCTATCTCCCTGTGAGTGGGCGGGCTCTCTGTTCCAGTTTGTGCAGAACTGTCCTGTTTCACGCTCAATAAGCACCAACACCCCTTTCGTTTTACAAGTGTCCCATTGGACAATATAGTATATCGTTGCCCTCTTTGTCGTCGTATTGGATAAGGAGCCACAGAGACCTCTTTACGTGGCTGTGCTTCTGTCTCTGGTGGAGCAGGAGGGCCTGGTGAGCATCCTTGGGGCCTGCTTCCTTAGAAGAGGATGCTGAGGCCAAGAGGTGCTTGCCTGGGGGCGGCAGAGCAGGGATGGAGGGCCTCCAGCCACAGAGTAGTCCTGGCCCCCTAGGCTAGACGGTCAGAGAGAGCAAGCAGTCAAGTCCCGAAGGCTTCCCTACACTGTGCAGTGGCAGGTGCCAGTGGTCCTGTGGCAAAGGCTATGTTTAGGATTAGGGGGATAGCAGCAGGCGACACCTGATAAAAACACAGGGCCTGGGGGGGTGTCCCACTGACGAGTGACTTGGGGGAAGGGTGTCAATAGTTTCTGCCCAGTCCCTCTGCACCCACCCCAGAGCTGGGGAGGCTGGCACAGGAGGTTGTCCCAACATGGGTGAGGTGTGGAGGTTGGCGGGGGGAGGCAGTGGGAGGGGGCAGAAGTAACTGAAGAGTGTCATCAGATCTGCGATGCCATCGTGAGCTGCACCTTACGTCATGTTCCACTGTCAAAGAAAACATGCTGTCAGTTAAAGCTGGACACGTTAGGAGTTACCAGATGCAGCCCAGTTTCAAAGATATTATTAGAACATGGGGGAAGAAAGTATCCTAGAGGCGATGGGATGCGGCATATGTGACCGAGGGGTTGTGCTCCCGTGGTGAGGGAATAATCGTGTCTGATGATTGTGACAAAGAGGGAGAGAAATGAGGGGAGGGAGGTGTTTGGGGTGCTCGAGGTGGCTTTGCCAGACATCCCTCACCTGTTTTGATCTTGGTGGTGGCCTGGGTAGGATGTAGGCTACGGAGGGGTCACTGGACGGACTCTCAAGATTTCTGAAGTAGGGGTCCTGTCACTGGGCCACTGCCCAGCCCCGGCTCACTCTGGGCAGAGCTCCCCGCCCCCTTCTCTCCCATGATTGGCCTTGGTTAGGCCACTGCTCACCTTAACTTGGGCTGCTGATCAATAGGTAGGTGTTTGCCACTTCAGAGGCTGAACCTCAGATGGCTCTCCAAGGCTTGGTGGGGCTTTTTACGTATCTCTGGCCTATGCCATCCTCCCCAGCCCACTCATCACCAGCTGCAGTCCTGGGCCCCTCCACATCTGCCATCCCCAGTGTCCTGCTTCCTATACACCCGTCCCTCTGCTCAGCTGGACAGGACTGCCAGCGTGCTCGTACCTGGCCTGGATGCTCTGTGCCAGACCATTCTTGCTGAGGTCCTTGGAGATTTTGTCATTGCTGATCCAGTGGTGACCTCTCAGTCCAGGCCCTGCTTGACCTCGAGCTACCTCCTTGGAGGGTCTTCCTCCTGACCTTGTGGACACCACCCCTGCCCTGTTTCTGCTTCTCCGGCCCTTGCTGGCCACCTCTGGTCCCAGCCAGTGCCTGTCCCCAGCCCCTGTCTTTTGTCCTTTCAGGTCCAGCTTGTTTTACTCAATGTCAGTTGTACACTGTGCCCCAAGATTGCTGTGGTTGGTTCTCAGCCATGTCTTCTCTTGTAGGAAGAGGCTTGGTGTGTGCTGCTGCCTTCCAGGGCCTGCTTTTCCCCTTGGGTAATTACAAGTGGTGATTCTCCAGCTGTCCTTGTACACGTCTCAGGTTTACGTACCTGGGAATGGAGTGGCTGAGTCCTAGGTTGTGCACATGTATTTTTTTTTTTTTTTAAAGATGACGGGTAAGGGGATCTCAACCCTTGACTTGGTGTTGTCAGCACCACGCTCTCTGAAGTGAGCAAACCGGCCATCCCTATATAGGATCCGACCCCGGGGCCTTGGTGTTATCAGCACCGCACTCTCCCGAGTGAGCCACGGGCCGGCCCATGTGCACATGTATTTGATTTTGGAACGGGGATCCAAACCCTTGCCCTTGGTGTTATAACACTGCACTAACCAACTGAGCTAACTGACCAACGCTTGTTTGATGAACTGATGGGGGGAGAGGCTTGGAGAGGGCCTCCAAGGTGGAGACCTAGTGGAGACCGGCACGGTTCCCTGGAGACCCACAGAGATGAAGGGTGCCAGGCAAGGCATCCACATAACACCAGCGTGGCAGGTGTGTGC